TTTTTTTTTTTTGTATTTTCTTGCTTGTATAAAAATAATAATTTGATTGTTGACGAAGTCTTACTAGTCGCATGGATCTGACCTAACTGTCTCTGTTTTAATCACGACCTCTTAAATCAATGATCTTAAGTCGTATGTAATAGAACTCTTTAAGTCAATACATTGTGTCGGATAGAGAGGCCATTAAGAATTTTTAATTAATTTCTTATTCATTCCATTTTTTATATGATATTTTAGAAGGTTTATATTATTTTAAAATATAGGATGTTTTCAAAATTTAAGATATATTTGAATTTTTAAAGTTAACTTTCATTTTATTTGAAACTATTCAACCAATAAAATTTTACTATATTTTTTATAATTGATTGAATGATTTTAAAATTATATTTTTAAAATTATTTTTAAAAGTATTAATATCTTAATCTCTATATACTAGACTAAAATACCATATATTACTGAAGGAAAACTTGTTTTTGATATGATTATATAAAATGCGAGTACAATCATATATATTGACTGGATGTAAGAAGTGGTTTTGGTTTTAATTTATATCAACGGTCATAAAAATTTACCAACCATACTTTAACTATTTTTAAGTTAGAGAACAAATGGTTGTATAAACCTTATTTTCAGGCAAACAGTATTGATATAGAAATGTCTTCTTTTTTTTAATAATTTTTCCTTGAATTTCTAAAGTTACATTAGATATATCTACATCAAAATTTCTATAGAACATATTTTATTGTAAAATTTCTACAACTACAATCCAACTAATGACCCTTTAACTCTTACTACCCCTTTAGTAACCTTTATCCAAGAAGACAGTTCCGTTTATTTTATTTAAATGAATATAATTTTATATCTTTCAAATAATGTATATTAAATCATCAATATAATATAATTTGTCATTTATCATGTGTAATCCATATAATGTTTTATTTTAATATTACAGATTATATGAATACAGAATATATAAATATGATTGAATTAATAATTTTCATTTATAAATAATAACTAGATTAATTAATAGATGTTTATTATATTTTTTTACTAGAAAGAAACAAATGAATTATTTTATCTAAAGCTAAAAAATTTAATAAGATCTTGTGGAATTTTTTTTCCAGCAAATTTTGTTAGAATTTATATATATATATATATATAAAATAAAAAAGCTATTAATCGATATTTAGTTAAATTACTGAAATATTTTTATATTATCTTGTGAAATAAATATGCACATGTAATAAAGTTTCTAGATTGAGTAATTTTTTGTTGGGATATTATAAAACTATACATCTAATATATTTTACAAACCGTCAAATTGTTGGGATATTAAAAAAAAAATTTATGAGTTTGTGTTAATAAGATAGATTATATATAAACTGATTACAACCAATACAGATCTAAAAACGATGCAACAATAGTGCAACAAACTTGAATTGGTAACATATATGTACACGATATATGCAATTCGATGAGTTTTTTAATCTTGATTCTTTTAAACACCATGAACACATATGTTTACTCAGAACAGAACCTTTAAGTTTAGACAAAATTAATAGTTATTTACAACAATTATTTCGAACAATGATTTATATATGAATCAAAGCATTTTTAAAAAAGATAACAAATGTTATTTGAGTGCAGTCGCAGATCTTTACATATATATGAAATTTTGAATATGAACTTCCATTTTTTAGTTACCCATTAATTTTCCCTAAGATTGCATTTATAACTTTTGGATTAAACTCCAAAGCATAGTAATTACCTAACCATGCACACACCACCTCATTAGTTGAAATGCTTATTTTTAGTAGATTATTTTATTAATCAAATTATATTCATATATTTGTTCTTAAGAAAAGTTAAATATTAAAAATTAGCTTATCTTTATACTATTAGTTATATCACGAATCAAGTTGTGGTTGATGTTTTTGCAATTGCATATTTTATGGTTATTTTATTAGACATGCAAATTGTTATCAAGTAACAATGGGTTGAGAAAACATGATTAATCAATTTTACTATAAAATAATTATATAAAATGTACCAATGCGGAATGGGTTAGAACATATTATCTCTTTTCATTTTTTTGAGCAACCTCTTTTCATTTTTATATTAGTTGAATAGATATATATATATATATATAATATAATAGTTAACGTTTTTATTAAAAAGTAAAATAATCTAGTTTTAATCTCATAAAATGGGTTGAAACCGAAGAAAGTATAAATACAGTTTTGTAATATATACTCAAATTATTTTCACTGGCGTTGTAATGTGTATTTCAATTCCACGCTTTTCGCAAATGCAAACAATAATTATATTATAGACCATAAAATAAAGTTGCACATATTATTCATAAATTTAATATTGAAAACTAAACTATGCAGTTATAAGAAAATTTGTTCTCATCTAAATTTTAATTATTTTTATGAATATAATATATGGTGTTGGTCATTATTTTTCCTAATCCCAAAAATTTAGTAACTTTGAGACTAAATTAAAGAAATTTTATTATTTAACAAAATATATAACAAGATATGGAGTTATAATTTATAGAAAACATTTTATTAAAAAAATGATTTCGCGCTTTGAAATCACGTATGATATTTAGTTATATATTAAAAGAATAGACCGTATGTAGATATACGAATATTTTGTACATGGTTTGTTTGGATGCAAATCGAATATCGGTAAAACCAGTTTTCTTTTCGGACAGCCGGTTCATTCAAGCGTATATAGTGAGCAGAAGGAGTTATACCATTATCAAAATTAATAACAATACCCAATTGTATTTCTGTGGCTCTCTCACATCAAATGGAAAAGTAATAATATTAAAAATAAGAAAAGGAAGGAAAAAAATGACTTGTAATAAATAAAGTGCAATAATTGATTGACTTATCACAGTTATGTAGAAGAATAAAATATTTAGGGGATTTACAAAATGCTACTAGAAAAGAAAAGGGACCGTCTGGTATAAAGGGATTAGGAAAAAAGTCACGAACACAATAGGTCCAGAAACGGTGACGTGACACATAGATCAAAACGTAGGCATCCATCGACGATCGTCATCGTATACCATTTATTCCTTCTTTCCAAGCCACACGAACAAATCTTAGGAGTTTTTTATACTGCTATTTACCCCCCACCCCCCAAAAAAAAACGGATTGATAATGAAATAAATCTTGAGACATATTTCCTTTATCCAAATCCCAAGTCCAAACTAATACTATCTTCGTGGTAAACTGTATTTTTACTATGCAGAGGAAAATCATTATTTAGCGCAATATAAAAAGGTGGATATGTTTTTATGTTAAATTAAAAAACTATTACACCAAAAATCTAAAAACCTAATATTCAAAAAATTAAAATAGAAATCATGTTTCACAAATATTAAATACGACTACAAAATATTTTATGCATTTTTTGAATTGACGACTGAATAAGAACAACAAATTGTGTTTAAGTTTGAGAATTTTGTTAGGTTTGAACTTTTAACAAAATTCATGGTTGATTTACACCTCTTTACTAAAGTGATTTAAACAAAATAACATTGACAAGTTTCTATGTCCGACCACTTTTGTAAACTATCGATTTTTAGAATTTTTATGTCAACCAATCATATAGGTTACAGTTAGATATAATGTTTTAAACAGGAACTAGATTTTGATCCGGCGTTTTTCAAGCACGAAAAAATTTTATGATTAAAATTTACATAATTGAGTTTTGTCTTAATTTAAAGATTATTTTGATATAAAATCAGTTCCCCAAAATTTGTGGTGATGATTGTTTTTCATTAGTTTTTAGTTTCAGTTTTTATTTTTAGATTTTGTTTTAGATTTTGGTTTTTGTTTTTAGTTTTTAAGTTTCTATTTTTGATTTTCAGCTTTTGGTTTGAGTTTTTAATTTTTAGACCTGCTGAGTTAGTTTGAAATGATATTATCAACAAACAAATCTCAAATAATCGAACATCTAATTTAAAACTGAAAAAAATGACAAAAATATTTGTAAAAAAAATTGCAATAGTTTATTTTGTAAATAAACAAAAGCAACAAATATAATCTGCGTTTTCAGCTTTTAGTTTTGGATTTTAGTTTTTAGCTTTGGTTTTGCTTTACATTTTTTTTTAAATCAGTAAATTATTTAAGAAAATAAAACAATAAATTATTTAAAAGTTACCATTGAAATTTGTCAAAACAAAGTGATTGTTATTTAAAATAAAAAATATATTAATATGTTTTAAAAAACATGATTTAAATAAATGATTAATAATAAACAATTTTGTTTGTTAAAAATATTAAATACCTTTTGGACTTAAAAATAATAATTGATTTTTTTGATCCTAAGGTGGAAAGTTTATTCAATGGTTTTGGAGTTTTTCCTTAATACTAAGACCAAAAACCAAACCATATAATTTGTTCTAAAAACAAAAAGTAAGCCAAAAACTATATCCCATAAATAACCATCGGTTTAATTTAAGATGCGGTTCAATTATCTATACGACTTATGTCATTTGTAATTTTCAGTCCAAATTGAAATGACAATTTGTAGTAGTAGATAAAAAGAATGATTACTAGAGTAGATATCTCTTTGGCGTCTTGGACAACACTAATATCAAACACCTATCTAATCTCAAATTTAAAACTTAATTAAAATAAGAGGATAATCATCGCTTCTTAGAAAAGCTACGCAGCGAAGATTCAATCTCACGCAGACTGTTGTTCTTAGAATTGTAGAAAAAAAGCGAGGGATTAAGAACACTCAATTATTACATCTTTCTTTCAAATAAAATATACAACTTTCGGAATTAATAAATAAGAAAATCAAGATTACTTACGAAAAGATAATTCACTTGGAATATTATGATGAAATAGTGATTTTTGTCTGAAACTGTTTCCAATGTCAACTAATTTCAGGTAATTTCGACCACTTGTCCGTACTTGCCTATATAAACAAACATACTTACCCTCATAAAACATATAACAACGTTCCACATACCGCACACTCATATAAACTCTCAACCTTTGTGTAATAACGATCTAGGAGTGAGCATATATTAAAACTTTCTGATTCTGTCTATATACATGGCTGATGAGTTTCAAGCGACGGCAACAATATGCGGCAGCGGAGGTGGCGCGTGGTGGAACTCGCCGATGAGCGCTAAGTTTCCTTCAGATAATTTCGTGTCACCGTGTTTCGGAGCTGCTGTTACTTATGATTTTGGCTCTCAAGAGAATAATATAAAATCTAGGATTACTTGTACCGACAACCGCATCGGTTTCGGGCAGCGAGAGGCGGATTCCGACAGTGGAGGAAGCACCGTGACGATTGACTCGACCATGCAAATGATGGGTCTAGGGTTTTCCTCGAACTCTACTTCAAATTGGAACCAAACCATTTTGTAAACTTCTAGAAAAAACCCTAACTTTAGTTTCTTTAACTCTTATAGTTTCTTGCTGAAATTGAAAACCTTCAATAATATTCATGAAAATGATTATTTTTGTATTTTTTCCAGACAAGAAGACTTAAACTCAAGCTTCATCAGGACCTCACAAGAACAAGAACATGGCCAAGGATTCTTATCGACAACTACCTCACCTTATCTTCTTAATCCAGCGTGTTCTTCATCAGCTTCTTCTTCCTCGAGCTTGCTACCAGCCTTTTATGAGCCTGGACTCAACCCCTACAGCTTCGTTTCCACCACTACCTGCTCAATCAACGATCCTCAGGTCTCTTGGGCTAATAATACGACAAATCCTAATCATCAAGCTGCTTATGGACTAATTAACAACTTCTCTAACAACACAAATTCTCGACCCTTTTGGAGTTCTTCATCAACCACTAACTTAAGTAACACGACGCAGAACAGTTTTGTAACCACTCCGCAGATAATATCTACTCGTGTTGAGGAGAAAACTAAGGTAATAAATAACATGTATATATGTCGAATTTTTATGATATATAAATTTTTCGGCCAACAAGTTAAGTTTTCTAGAAGCCCTTTCTCAAAAAAAAAAAAAAAAAAAGTTAAGTTTTCTTTTTCTTTTGAATAATCAGAAGACAAGAGGCCAGAGCGAGTCTTTGAAGAGGGCAAAGGATAATGAATCTGCGTCCAAGAAACAGAGAGTTACCACGCCTTCACCATTGCCAAATTTTAAGGTATATATATAATTATTAATCATAATTTGCTTCTAACCTTTATTTTAATTAAATTTCTTGTGGATAAAATTGATCTGTAAATGTAACAGGTGAGAAAAGAGAATCTAAGGGACCAGATTACTTCATTGCAACAGCTAGTTTCACCTTTCGGAAAGGTGAATGATTTATATTCTATTTATTTGAGTTATAATATACACAAACCAAAGTTTTTGTTTTCATCTTCTTGGTCAGGTTTATTTATCGAGCTTCTTTTTTTGCTTTGTTATCTGTGGGTTGATTTTCAGACAGATACTGCATCAGTGCTCCAAGAAGCTATAGAGTACATCAAGTTTCTTCACGACCAAGTCACTGTACGTTTCTAGCGATTTCTCTCTTTACTATTTTTTTTTTAAATCAAGAAACCCTAGAATGGAAATTTTTGAGCATAATAATTAATATTTTACAGGTTCTAAGTACTCCATACATGAAACAAGGTGCCCCGACTCAACAACAGCAGCAGGTTTCATAAAATACTCTTGCGTTAGATTTGTGCCCAGCTTTGGAGTCTTCATACTAGATTTATTAATGTATTATGTACTAATTTATTATGGACTCATGCTGATATCTGGTAAATCTTAAAACCAGGGTGGAAACGAGAATCAAGAACTACGAGCACACGGTCTATGTCTCGTCCCAATATCAAGCACCTTTCCGGTGGCTAATGAAACAACCGCCGATTTCTGGACACCGACGTTTGGCGGCAACAATTTCAGGTAGGGTAGATGAACGTATACCATACGGTTCTTTCCTAGCATCAAAATACTAATCAATGGTATTTAAATAACAAAAAAAAATCGCAAGTCATGATCAAAGATTGAATCATTACTTTGAGAAAAAGTAGAGATGGAAGAGGAAGGTGACTCTTCAAAGGTGGGCAGAGGCAACAATGGTGTTGGAGGGGACCAACTACAAAAGCAAGAATGATTTGGGGCTAAGAAAATGGGATTATCTATTATAATTTAACAGGCTCTTTTTTTAGAAAAGAAACATATATACCTTAATATAAATGTTTTCAATAATTTAGCTAAAGTTATCTTTTAATTCTATATAGGTGATTAAAGAGAGAAGGTTGGGGTTGTCAAGACGGATGGGAACATATGCTAAATTCAGCTTGCAGACTCTAAAGAATGGCAATAATAGTACTGTATTTTCTTCTTCTTCTTTTTTTTTTTTTGTCTTTTAATTTAATATTATATTGGGAGTTTTATTGCTGAATTTAGCAGATATGGGTTGTTTTATGTTGAAGAACCTTTTGTTCCTGTCCTTGTTCTTGAATATATAAATATACATATTTTTTGCCGTTGGTGCCATCTTCTGCAGAGACTTATTAACAAGGAAGCTCTTAGTTTGTTTCTGATTTGTATGTATATAAACTAATCTTTCGTTCTGCAAGAAAATTTCTATGGTGAAGAATAACAATAATATATATATATATATATATATATATATATATATATATCTTATATAATAAAGTTAGTTTTTATCTCTGTAGTGGTAAAAAGTGACACTTGTCATGATATTATTTGTTGAATGATATTTTAATTGTTTTTCTTTTGGGTTGGAATTGATTTTTTATTTATTTATTAAAATTTGTTAGACTTTAATAATTTAAGACTATAACTTTATTATCAGAACTCTTTATTGAATAAGCACGTGTTGGATTTTTCAAAATTAATATAATTGATTTGAATTATATATTGTTGTTTATGTTTGTAAAGTTAGTATTATGGGGTTATCTTATTTTGTTTTTTTTTTTCTAATGATTTAACAACTTTTTCTAAAGATTTGACAACTTTTTTCACGAGTATATGTTGAAATAATCGGGTAAACAATTGGGTTTGAAGTTAAATTTAATTTGAAATATCCAAAAATCGAAGAACTGAACCAAAAGATAACTAAAACCTAGACTTGTACCCGTTAGTAATCAGAATTAATATTTTTCTACATGTTTTTGTTTTTGACCTAGATTATTTGGACCCAGTATAAACCGATCTGAAACCCAACCGAAAAAATTACAAGTATCTAATGAATCTGATTTTTCTATATCCAAAGGATCCGGATTCGACAAAAACCAATTTGAACCCCATCCAAAGATCTGAATACCAAGACTTATTCTAGACATTCAGTTACTTCAGTTTTCTTTCAAAAAATATTACCAAACAAACAAAAAAAAACTAATCCGAACTAACCTGACTAATAAAATTTTGAACCCAACTAGCGGAACGAAGCGAAACTAACCAAATTTATCTTAAATTTTTAACTAAATTTAAACCAAAATCTAACAAAAATGAAAAAAAATTCAATAAATTTACAAACTGAACAAACAGAGTACCAAACCAAACTTTATTTTAGGTTAATTTAGTAAGATTTCTGTCTGAACCGAATAACCTAAACTAATTGAACTCGCATGTCTATGCCAAGTTTTTGAGGTTACATCAATAATCACAAACAAGTTTCACGACAACAAACTCCCAGCTAACTGACATATTAAAAATCTCTACTACTTTTGCATCAAATGTTATTATTACAAACATATATAGAAATCTATTTTCACAGAAAGATATTTTGTACAGATTTACATGGTTTATGTCTACTTCTTTACTTCGACTTTGATTATAAAAAATTATAGGCTCTCACAAAAATCATGTATATACATTGATACACTTATATTTACTTACGTACTATCGGTAATCTAATTTTATAGTTAAAAGATAAAAACTAAACAATTGACACGAAATACTTCTAGCATCATTATATAACTGACCACCACACAATTATACATCTACTCCTCAAAATGCACAACTAAAACGAAGAGCTTCCAAATTCAGCTGACGATAAATTAGCAAGTCACTTGACCATGTACGCTAACAAAACGTCGTAATGGTCAACATCACATAACAGTCTCAATAAAACAAAATAAGCCCTATAAACTTCCAGATTTGTAAATGATACAACTATACAACCCTAATCTAGAACTTAACCCCAATTATGATTAGACTAACAGAAAACTGGACCAAACTGAACCAAGAGAAGGAGTATGCAATACCATATAAAAGACAATAAGGAAATAATCATTTTTACTTTAGTTGAATCCAATAAAAAAATTAATAACAAAACTATTATAATGGTCGGAAACAAATACACAAAAGTATGAACCACCGCAAACATCCCATGCATTTTAATACCCATCATCTAAATCATTTTCGAGTTGTAGCAACTTATTCGAGCCATCCACGAATTACAAATTATTTAGCCAGGTCTCAAGCATCAACCAAATGTTTAGTATCAAATTCAAAATATCGGAAACAAAAGTAAAATACACTTATACACCAATTTTTTTATTAAAAAATAGATTACATTGCGCGCGAAACGCGAACAAACCACTAATATAAATATAGATTACACATATTCCCTCTGTTCCACGAAAACTGCAGTCACTTTGAGAATAAAATTACAACACCACAAATAACCCTATTTTAATACATAATTTATAAGTAAGAAATTATTATACACAGTAATTGTATTAATTAATATGGGAAAATATGTAAAGAAAGTATAAAGTTACAATGAAAACACAAATTACAATCTTTGTGAAACAAGAAAAAAATCTCAAAACTATTATCTTTGTGTAATGGAGGATTATATTATATGTAGAACTTTAAGAAATGCTGACTAACTAAACTCAAAAAGAAAAATATATAAAACGAAACTTAGTTGAAATAAATCCATTTTAATGTATGTATTGAATATGTGAAAGAATAAATTATAATACTTCAAATCAATATTTATATTCCTCAAAAAATTTACAGTCCAAATTTTATTAGGATACCAAAATTTAAAATCATTTATAGAAGAGTCGATGAGCTATTTCCCTACGAAAAATATCGTATAACATCAAATGACTCAAAAATGAATGCATCCTATATATACTCAAACTTAGAGTTTGAAATCTGTATTCCCACAGATTGAAAGTTCAAATTCCAAACCCTCCGAAATTAATATTCGAAACTCCAGAACCCATACACCTCAATCTCCTTTGTTTAAATATGGTTTAAAATTTTGTAATCAAACCATAAACCTTCTAAATCAGATTTAAAAACAAGTAAATACCCTTGAGAGTCGACGGGCTATTTTTAACAAGTATTAATTAAATCATCTTTAACCAATGTAACTAAGGTCTATGGATTTTGGAGTTTCGAACTTTAATATTTCCAGGAGGGGGGGGGGGGTTGGAGTAAATTCAAAGATATATAAAATTTAGTCAGAATTTGGAAGATATCTGATGCAATAGTTTTCGTGAGGAAATAGCTCATTGACCTTTACAGAATTAACAATCCTATATTCCAATGTTGTTGCGAACAAAATATATGCCATGATAGTCAATATTAAGCATTCAGTTGAGTTACATTTTATATATGTTATGATGTTATCTTCTAGTATTAATAAAACTATATTAAGTTACCACTGAAATTTGTTCTTGTGTTCATCCTATAAAGAACTATAGCTGTGGGAAAGTTTAACCAGTTGACAAATGAGTGATTTTAATCAATCAAAGGTTATAAATTGATACTATGTTAATATCAATGGTGCTAGAAAAAAATCAACCTTATAACAATGAGAATTTGACAATAAGGTAACTAGGAAAGAACAAAAATTAAACTTGATCGAGCTTAATGTTTATAGAATTCCTTATTTACATTTTTGATATCCATGTATTTATGTTTGTACATATCATGTATATGTAATCGTCTTTTGTTTTTCACACGAACAAATTATTAAGTTAGTTTGAAAAGTTTTAGTTGAGGCTATATGTTGATGAAAAAAAAATATCCATGTATACATGCGGTGTCCATGAACTGAACTTTTATTCGTTCGATTAGAACTATATATTATGAAAATTTGATGGTGGAAGCCAGTAGACAACAGGCCCACTGCTTCCTACTTTATGATATAAATATACAGTATGGTTTAATGTATATACTGATATATATGTACCAATTGACCTTCAATACACATTCAATACACATTCATGTTTAAAGAAAAAAAAAGATAATTCAGATCTTTTTTTAAGAAATAATTCAAATCTTATTACAAAGATATGTATGTGTCTAATAAACTATCAAATGTCACCAAAAATAGTATAGATGCAACAACGTTCCTTTTTTGCTAAGAATCCCTATATATTACCTGAGAAACATTTGAAAAGATATAATCTTAAATTTATATTACTTAAAAAATAACCCAATCCTACATGACAACTCTCTATGATCTACTCTATTAAAATAGAATCATTCTTTTTATCTATTGATACAAGTTGTCATTTAAATTTGTACTCTTTCTAAAATGTTACAAATAATATAAGTCATATAATTGATTGAACCGTATTACTTAAATTAAACCAACACAATTAATGTAAAAAGACGACCTTAATGTAAACTACCTTCAAAATACTGCAGATATCTATGTGTATACCGAAAACACATATTTTTTCCTACAAATATGGAATGTTCTAAAATAATATATATCATCAAAATATGGAATATGGAAATCTACTAATTATACTTAAATTAAACCAGTGGTTATATATGGAATATAGTCTTGGGCTTACTTTTATTTTTTGAACAAATTATATAGTTTGGATTTTGGGCTTAGTATTAAGAAAAAACTCCAAAAACATTGAATAAACTTTTCACCTTAAAAGATCAAAAAATCAATTATTATTTTCAGACCCAAATATTTAATATCTTTAACAAAACAAGACTATCTATTATTAATCATTTATTTAAATCATGTACTTTAAAACATATTAATATATTTTTTATTTTAAATAACCATCACTTTTTTTTGATAAATTTCAATGGTAACTTTTAAATAATTTATTGTTTTATTTTTCTTAAATAATTTACTGATTAAAAAAATGTAAAGTAAAACCAAAAACCAAATCTAAAAACTAAAATCCAAAACCAAAAGCTGAAAACACATGTATATTTTTTTGCTTTGTTTATTTACAAAATAAAATATTTTAATTTTTTTTTTTAAATATGTTGTCATCTTTTCAGTTTTAAATTAGATGTTCGATTATTTGAGATTTGTTTATTGGTAATATTAGTTCAAACTAACTCAGCGGGTTTAAAAAATAAAAACCCAAACTAAAAACTGAAAATGAAAAGTAGAAACTTAAAAACTAAAAACCAAAAACCAATATCTAAAAATAAAAATTAAAACTAAAAACTAATGAAAAAAAATCATCACCACAAATTTTGGT